CTGGCACTCGGAGATACGTTCGGTGAAGAATATTTATTTGTTCCCAAGGTTTCCACTGAGTCGCCCCGCGACCCTTCAGCTGTGGGTGGAAAACGTGCCTCCTATCTAACGGGTGGTAGAATGCGCCACCATATTATTCTGGTGTGGCTAGAGATAATAGAGAGCTTTAGTAGATCGTTCCCATGACTCCCATGACGATACCCGATACTCAACCACCGCCTCTCTTGTGCAGGCATAATAGAGAGTTTTAGTAGATCGCTCTAATGACTCCGATAACGATACCCGATACTCCGCCACCGCCTCCCTTGCGCATGCATAGTATCGTTATCGGGGCTATAGGAGGTATCGGAACGATCTACTAAAACTCTCTAATATCGTTATCGAGGCTATCGGAGGTATCGGAACGATCTACTAAAACTCTCTAATATAATTCTACCAAAAGATGGCCGACCGTGCGCGCATTCACGGAGCGTGCAAACGCAAACCAGCAAATAGTAGATATCGGTGCGTGTACCTACCCAGGAATTCCGGATTCAATCCCCACCCCTACCTGTTTAGATCTGGATGAGCATCGCACCGACGTGCGGTCGTGTTTTACTGCTGCGTGGTGCACGTTAAAGACCCCAGGCTAGCAGTCGTACTGCTCTGGCTAAATTGCTCATCTACAGTGGGTAACAATGCCACCATGTTCTGGCAGACTAAATTAACTAACGACTTTTTTTGTGTGTGTGAGAGTTGCGTACCCCGACATTTGATTAAAATATACCCTTCTTGAAATTAAGTCTGGCAAATTTGATCACTATCATCATCTTGGCATATGTCATATGTGCTTTAATACAATAAAGGCCGTGGCTACATCCACGCTCGGGGACGTAGCCAAGTCGGGAGGCGATAAGGCACCATCCACGCAAAAGGTCACGTGACTTATAATATACGGACAAAATTTTTTTATGTACATATTATGCTTTCTTATAAGTAGATATATGATATAAAAATGAAGAGGTTACATCTTATTGTTGTTTTAAAGTAATTATGTCACGTGACCTTACAAATTCTTAGAGAATTTATCAATCTTTTACTGTTTTTGAAGACTAATAGCAAATATCATGCGTCATAAAAATAGTATCGATATATATATCTTTATATTATGTTGTCCAGGAGTTACACATACGTGTGGGCGGCGAGTGTGCCATCCAAGGCGTGTGGGCAAGGGGGCGTGCGGTCGAGCAGCTATCTGGTGCGGCTTGGTTGGCTTGGTGCGGTTGCGGTCATGGTGCGGCTAGGGTGCCCTCATAAAGGAATTCTAGGTGCGGCCTCCGGGGCCTTCGCCCATGTGTGCATCGCTGCCGAAGCGAGGCGGTGAGGCTTTGTCGTGTGTGGATGGCTTGGTTTGAGGAGTTTTAGTGTGATCTTAAGTGCATCGAAGGGGACAAGTTCTGAGCCCACCGCTCCGTACGTTCTTGACTTGCGCGCACGCTCGCAATCTCACAAAGATTGTGAGAGAAGGGAAAACATGCATTAGTCTCAGTAATAACAAACATACTAAGAGCATTCAATCAAGAAAACTGGGCAAAAGTTTCCAGAAACAGTTTATTCCATGACAAATAAGACAGTAGCCGATGCACAGATGCCACTCGTCCACTTGATCCCCGATGAACACGAAGCCCTTCTTGCGGCAGAACTCCTGCAGGAGCCAGCTCACGTCTCTGTGCTGACTATTCAACGTGCCGATCATTCAACGTCTGGATCTCGGCACTCTGACTACGGTGGCACTCCAACGAATGGAACCTGTTCTTCCGTCTCGGAAAGACGCAAGAAAAGGCGATCTGCATCGTCGGATTGCGTTCCAAGATCTGAGCGGCCAGCCGACGGTACTTGTCAACGTGCGCGCTCGCAGAAACGCTGGTATTGTTTGTGCCTAAATCGAGCATGGCGTCAGACACCTTGGATAACAAGGCCTGGATCCTAATGCCACTAAACTCCCACACTTCGAGAGCCACCCGGTTATTCAATGGAAAATACTGGGACAAGTATTTCAGCATTGGATCCCCGACAACCAAAACTCGAGGCATATCAGAAGCGCGACCATGTTAATACACAGAAGGCCATAGACAAAAGGCCAAACTTCTTGACCAGGAAAACAAGAAGAAAACAACGCTTCAGCGAAAGTCAAACCTGCTTGCGGAGGACCAGGCAGGAACAGCAGTCCGCAACGGCAGGAACGGGTGGAGCAATTGCCGCAGAGCACACGGCAAAACAATGGGAGGCAAGACCATAGTTTGATTGCTGCGTGCACGGAGAGAAGACGGGAGGAAAACTTGCCTCCGTCCACGCAGGACGTCGTGCGCAGGAAGTGACGTAGGGCGCGGATGGAGCCTTATCTGCTCCCAACGTGGCTACATCCCCGCGCGGTGATGTAGACACTCCGTACAATAAGCAGCCACAATAAACTACTATACTCTATTTCACCTGATGATGTACCGAAAGAAAGGATACGGGCGCGAGCTCCTTGCTCTAGGGCACATCTCGGCGGCACAAGCTTTCGTGCACTAAGGGCAGCTGCTAGCGTTATGAGCTCGCGCTTCTAGCGTTCGCTGCGGTACAACATAAGGTGAAACGGAGTATACTACTAAGCGCGGCGTCCCGACTGGTGCCCCTAGAGTCCCTAAATAAGCTACGCTTTCAAAGTACCGCATTCCTTTTCTTTGGCATTTTGCCGACAATACACTCGCTCTATTCAACGATATTCTGGTTCGCTGCGGCATCATTGGACAGCGGCAGTCACGTGAGTCGCTATCATCATCATCGCGTTTTTTTAATGCCACCATCTTGGGTCCAGCGATCCTCTGCCTGCTGCTGTTTGCTGTTTACTGCGCGCGCACGCTGAAGTCCGTCCCACAGCACACGCGTTTTCCGTGTTACGTTGAGATACGAACAACACGACTTTGATTCGCTGCCACAGCTACGGCCGCGGCAGCTGGCGCAGGCGACGGCTACAACTCGGCTTGGCTCCGCGACAGTCACTCCTCCATCTGCGCGTGGACCCAAGATGGCGGCGCCTGACGCGCTTCAGACGCGTAGTTTGGGAGTTTCGGTACTCTGAAAGCGTAGCTTTATTTAGTTACTCTAGGTGGCCCCATGCGTGCTAGCACGTGCATTATGCGCGTGAAGGTGACTTTGGCAGGCTTGCGATTGAAACAGGCCAACCCTGCCTGGAAAAGAGAAATAATTGGCCGCCGGGGGGCGTCAATGTTTCGACGGATTGTACACTGCACCCGTCCCGAGGGTGATGTTCGGGACATTTTTTATCCCCGTGCATGCAGGCTAAATCACGGGGATCCACGACAATATGGGATCGACAATGAACCAGTCGCTGTGTTCGCATGCTTGCCCTATGTGACATGTCAGGATAGGGAAGTGGTTGTCGAAGAGACAAGCCTGCACGTCCACAAAGACTATTCATGCATTGCCATGTTACAAGAACGTGTTGTGTGCGAGGGAAATGGCAAGGGCTTCTTCCAAGCAACCTGTCCCTCCCCAAGGCGGGGGATAACACCAGCTGAAGCCGTTGCTAAGATGATGGCTTCTTTTGCCGCATTGTGGATGGGAAGAAGTAGACATGAGTCTTGTTCAGCACGAAGAAGACTCATACTTACTACTTGCAAGTGCAGGGGAAAATGATGGTGGTTGGGGCACGATGCTCTGACTTTGTCCTGGGGACCAACAACAGTCTTTTGAGGAAATTTATTTTGTTGGAACGTGTGCTTGCGGACATAGCATTCTGAAAGAATGAAATAATGCCTGGTTTGCAATATTTTAATCGTTTCGCCCTTGTGCCGGAACAGATCCCATGCCGGATCAGGTTGCTGAACTTCCTCCACATAAATAGAAGAGGCCGTGTGGCTTCATAAGAGACTTGGTGATGCATGACTAAAGAAAATACAGTGCAACAATTTACGAAGCACAGGTAGAAGAGGTAGCACGACAAGCGCTGACTTATAACTGCATTTTAATATAAAGAAAGATAAAGCCGTCGAATCGCCGAAACCCCCCAAACACTGCCGTTCTTGCTATCTTATCAAAGTATTTATAAACTCGCTTCAAAACGATACGTGTACATAATCTCGCTGTTAAACAATGGGATAGACAGAGAGCTCGCTGCTAAACAATGTTGTCGGTACTTGTAAGAAACGCCAAGAGTGAATTTTATTAGAGCTTTCCCTCCACGTGCTTTGTGCTGCAGTGCGCTAGCACACTCAATCACCGCGGTGGGGAATCATTGGTGGCCGAGAGGGCTGGCGCACACCAGCTCCGAGCACATGGGGCGAAAGCTCGCGCTTCAGAAACCAGGGCAACCAGGGTTTTTGCGTTCAGTCCCCTGCTCGTTTCGTTCTGGATGAGCATCGTATCGGCGTGGGGCCGTGTATCACTACTGCGTGGTGCACGTTAAAGACCCCAGGCTAGCGGTGGTACCGCACTGACTAAATTCCTCATCTTCAGCTGAGAGACAAGTCACGCGTTGAGGCAGACTAAGTTAAAAAAAAGAAGTCAAATTGGACGTTTAGGGATTTATACAGCGGAAGGTCGGTCTGCCAGGATGGGGCGACACTGGTTTACACTGTAGATGAGAAATTTTGCTAGTGCAGCGCGACTGCTAGCCTGGGTTGTTTAACGTACTCACGCAGTAGTGATAACACGACCGCACGCCTGTACGATGCTCATCTAGATCGAAACGGGCAGGGGTGAGGCTCGAAACCAGGCTCTCGGGGATCTGCAGCCTGTCGCTCCACGCGCGTCGAGCTGGCAAAATTTTTAATTTTTTTTTTTTTTTACTGTTTTGTTTGGGGTAGCGGCTCTAGGATTCTGATGTTTTATCTCATTTTTGTTCGAAGAGAAGGAAGATGAATCGCGCTTCACGATACATAGATTGCTACTCAAATTGAATCAGCTGCCACATTTTTTAGCAAGTAATTCACAGAGGTGTCCGATTTGAGCAGTCGATGGAGCCCGAAGTCGTGTACCAACATCTGACCACGCGGTACATCGGAAGCGTTCACGGCCTCTTCACCTTCATGGAAGCGGTGAGTATTCACGCCTACAGTAAAGCCTGATTCACATAATGAGAATTTAGTTGCGATTTCGCAATTGCGACGTCGCTCGTGCGGAAAAAAAAAAAAAAGCCTGGGGGAAGCTGCGGTGTCCGACGTCGCAGCTGCCCTGTCGATCGCCACAGCCGTGCAGTGTAACGCATGTGTGTTGAGTGAGGCGCTGGGGTGCTATGTTGCGCTTTTTTCACTCCCAGGAGACTTGGAAGAGGGAAGTGACGTCAACGGCTAGAGCAAATGCAGATTGGATGTTGACAGAAGAAAACAAAATCAACATCGAATCTGCGTTTGCTGCGTTGTTGACGTCACTTCCCTCTCCCTAGTCTCCTGGGAGTGCAAAAAGCGCAACATAGCACCCTTGGATATCCTTAAAGCAGGCCTGTCTTGTGGTCTAGTTGCATTCCTGCAATTGCAGAATTGGGAGGAGATAAAATGGCGAGCTGACTGAGCCGCCCCATGTAATTTTGTTTTTATGGAGAAAAAGACATGGCTCCCAGAGGCGAACGGACCATTTTCACGCCCTAAGCATTTTTATATTGTACACTCCCCCCCGCCACTCCCCCCACCCTCCCATGCTCCCTCCGGTCTTCGGTTATTTTCTTGTGGACATTTTACTGGAGATTATGGTTTTCAGGGGAAATTTAGAAGGCGTTAGCACTTCGGTGGCGCCACCGTATAATACTTTAGCAATCGCAGAGAGTAGGCCCACTTCGTGCGAATTCGAAGTTGCAACTCCCTTTGATCTGGCGCTCTCCTAGGACCAGTGGGCAGGGTGCGCCTCTGGACACTTCAAACATTGCGGTCTTCCCGGACAGGAGGATACTAGGGTCCTTAGATTACATGGAATTTATCCACGATACTAGCGCTTTGTTCGCAAAACAAGCTTAGCGTGACCATATTAACTCTAGCGAGAGTTACTTTATATTTTTTTTCTTTCCGGGTCCTAACACCTTTTTAAAGACTGGCAGACGTAAGTCTTTCCAGAATGTCCAGTTTTCACACTATGCATTCTATACCTAATTCCACACAATTTGGTTACCGGAAACATTGTGTTTCGGTGCTTTCATAATACACTGAAAGAAAAGGCAGGGCGCAGGGGTTAGCATACCTCACTGGTAATTTGGAGACCCGTAGTTCGAACCCTGACTCCACTATAGTTTATCTTTCGGCGGCTCTCTAACCTGAATTGTTTTTTTTTTGTTCTTTTTGTATGTTTACACAGCGTGGAAGTTAGTGAAAGCCTCAATGAGCATCTGGTGTCTCAGTCGTAGTTGAGACATTTAGCCAGTGCGGTACCACCGGTAGCCTGGGATGTTTAATCTTCACCAAGCAGTAGTGATACACAACTGCATGTGGGTACGATGCTCGTCCGGATCGGAACTGGCAGGTGTGAGAATGGGACGCCGGATATCTGGGTTCTGCTCAGACTTGTACGTTACGAGTAATCAATTACTTGTAATCGATTACTGTTTGAAGTAATTTTGTAATCATTTATTTACATTTATTAGGAAGTAATCAAGCGAGTAATTTTATTACTTTTGGACACTTGTAACCGCTACTAATTTCCCCTCCCCTTTAAAACGGTACCAGCTTTGTTTCTGCAAGGTTCCTACCAACAAATTCTCCAACCAAGTCTCCCCGATAGAAGGATAATGTACCAAAATTTGTGAATTAAAAAGAAAATCAATTAAGAATTTTGTTATTCAAATTCGATAGTAGACGACCCGTTTTAACACCGACAGCAAAATTTGTCGTTTTGAAAAATCTGAAGTAATTTGAAAAGCAACGGTTATTTTTTTAGGCAACGACCAATTACTTTCCTTACAAGTAATCAAGTAATCTAACTGAATACTTTTTAACCGAGAGTAACTGTAACAGTAATTGGTAGCCTTTCTACAGTAAGGTGTACAAGACCCCTGCTCCGCGAGCTGATCCGCTCCGCGAGCTTCCGCTCCGCGCTCTCCGAGATGCGGCGCGCTAATGGGGTATCCACACGAAGGAGAAATCCGCCCCTTTCCTCCGCGGAGCGCGCATCACGTGAGACATACGTCATTCCTTTTTGACGCCTCGCGGCGCCGTTCTCCTCCGTGGCGGAGGCGCGGAGGCTTCGTGCTGTCAGCACGAAGCCTCCGCGCCTCCGCCACGGAGGAGAACGCGCCACGAGGCGTCAGAAAGGGATGACGTATGTCTCACGTGATGCGCGCTCCACGGAGGAAAGGGGCGGATTTCTCCTTCGTGTGGATACCCCTTTAACGACCTCGGCCACCGATCCCGCCCTCTCTTTCTTGTTAACCTTCGTTTTTATCTGATTAGCAGGGTACATTCTCCAGCATGTTTCAACTATTTTTTTTTTTTTGACACGACGAAAAGACGACGAAAAATCGCCTGTACAAAAAGTAATTAGAGATTCTTGGTAAAACAATAAATTTTTATTCTTGGCTGAGGTGTCTTTTCACTTATTCTTGGCTGAACTGTCCAAACGAAGCTCGAGTCCATGATGGCGTTGAGACAAAACAATGCGAATATTTTTTCAGATATGTATTGTACCGTTTCAGACACAAAGTTCCCAGGAGCAGCGTAAATTTACAATGCTTTATTGCTGTAGCTTTTTTTTTTTTTTTAAGTAATATTACGCTGTATTGATTATACTCCGTTTCACCTTATGTTGTACCGCAGACAAAGCTAGAAGCGCGAGCTCATAGCGTTGAGAGCTACTCTTAACGCACGAGAGCTTGTGCCGCCGAGATGTGCTCTTGAGCAAGGAGCTCGCGCTTGTAGTCTTCCCTGAGGTACATCATAAGGTGAAACAGAGTATAGATTGTTACCTTTGTCAGCTTAGAGCCATGCGCGTTCGTGTTTGCTGTAGGGAGCATATCTTGGGCCACGTGCGCGTTCAGCGTCGGCTAAACTGGGCGGCTTGGTTCCTCAGATCCTGGGCACCCTGATCGGCAGCCTGTACTTCCTGTTCGGGGTGGAGTCCCGGAGTCAGCAGTTCCTGTACCTCTCGGCCATGACGTATGGCATCAACGACGTCCACTTCATATTCGCCACCATGCTGTCCGAAGGGGACTCCATCTTCCTTCCAGTCTCTATCTACGTACGTAGCCGATAGAAGTGGCTTCAGCAGCAACAGGAAAAAGAGCGATCAATTTAACACTTGTTCTGGTGCGAAATATGCTTTCTATGTTCAAAACGCGTGAAAGCTAATCGTATAAAGTCGGATGTTATTAGCGGCGAGATGTTTTGGTGGCGCCCTCGTTCGGTTACCTTTCGTGACGTCATTACCTTGTGAACAACGAGTTCGATGGTGTTTGTAATGGGCATGGTGGAAGCCAGAAATCATAGCGCTCTCAAAGCAACACTGCCAACACCGCCAAAATTGAAGTTCTTACATTCCTCTTATTTCCGTCGATGAGACATCCTTTGCTGACGTCGTATTCAGCATTCGGCCAATTGTGGTGGGCCGACCACAGCGACGCTTTCGGTCGCTCACGTCGCCAATATAGCGAACACTCCCTAAAGCAATTGCCATTTAAAATTCGCCTGCATTTAAAGAAAAAAAGGAATCTTCTTGAAAGATTCTTTTGGTCGCCCGAAGAACCCCTTTCAGCACGTGAAGAAGGGTTTCGCATCCAGGACTATCGCCCCGTGGCGCACTAGAAAGGCAAGTGGGCGATTAGATACTTTTTCACATCAAAAAAGGAGCTTAAAAGAACCTGTTATAGGTTTTCCATGAAGAACTCTTTTGGGGGCTGCTTAAAAGAACTTTTCAAGGTGTATAATATGGAGAAGTCAAAGAGTACCTAAAACCGCGGTCACACTTATTATAGGGAGTATTCACTGGCGGCCATGTCCGTGTGCGCTGCTGCTGAGCGCGTGCTGACGGCGAGCTTCCGCAGTCCTTTTGGAGCGTGCACTTAGCATCATCAAGCTTGCCGGTCTTAGCAGGCTATTAATGTGAGCTCGTTCTGAGCATGCGCTCTAAACATCGCCCTCAAATATGGCGTCCACTGAATACCTCCTATACATCATGCAAAAGGCAGTCTGAATACAGATTCGAACACGAGTCACGGCGAGGTCCGTGCATCAAATGCCACATGGCAATGAGTTCACGGAGAAAACTTTCACGCGGCATTTGAACCATTAATAGCACGGTGACTCGTGTTTGCCGACTGTCTTTTGAATGATGAATGAACAATTGACCCCGGCTTTACAACCAAAGTTTCTTTTAGAGTGCACGCTCTTCGGTGTAGCTCTTTAGACCCATCGCGGGTCCAGTGCGCTTATTGCCTCTAATTTCCATTGTTTGTGTCCAGTTCCCGTTCTACCAGTTAGCTGCGTCCCTCTGCTTCTGCATCACAGCCATAATCATCCTGCAGACATACAACAGTCCGGGAGACTGCATCTTCGGAGGGGTAAGTGCACCGAGGATCACGCGCACAGAGTGCCCCATTAGAGAAATGAAATACTTCTGATGTGATTCGTTCAATGAACACACTGTTACAATAAAATATATATGGTTTATTTACAGATGAATAGCCATGACTGAAATGTAAACGAGTTGTTCTTCCGAGCTTTAGAGATCGAGTCGTCCTCTTTTATTACAAAAAAAAAAAAAAAAAAAAAACGGAGCGTGTTGGGAAGGTTTAATTCACCCACGAAAGGATAAAGAAATAGGAAGAAGCACGGAACGCGACATGTTTCAAACTACGTTCACCGCTAAAGCTGACAGGGTAGGTGAAAGCTACGTGCTGGGTTCGGCCAGTCAACCGTCAGTCTTGCACAGCTTTTTCACGCTCTTGACGCATACTTCTTTCAGGCGAAGAGCGGGGTCAGAGAATAAAGAAGTAAGCCAGGGCTTACACCGACGAACACGCAGCTTCCATCGCCCTGTCAGCTTAGCGGAAAACAAAGTATAGCAACGGACAAGAATGAAACAAAACCGCCTCTAAAAAGCGACAATGAACCTTGGAAGGAGAGGGTTAAATAAATTCTTGAATGAAAGAGAAATGTCACAGGAGGAAAAAGATACAAAATACAAATAAGATACATTAATTTTGTGTTTGTGGAATGGGATTAAAATATAAAAAAAACACAGTATCACGTCGGTGTCGGAAGCTTACTGGAAAGTTCTGATATATGAAATTAAACTTTTGTGTTCGTCAGTGAAAGTAGTGGAAGAGAAATATTGTTGCAATATTTCTGCACCATCACTCTGCAAGTGATGGGGCAGAACTAGACATCTAGAAGTTTGGCCAACATGTTTGAACCCTCAAGTCAATGGGATCACGTACACTGTCCCACCTTGACAAACTGCCGATTTGTTTCTGTGTTTGTTTTTTTGGCCCCTCTTCCTCTCCGCAGGAAAAGGGCTAATAATTCCCCAACTTGAAATCCGTGTTAAACACACAGATTGGTGTGGACGTTGTCTTTGACACGTTTCGATCATAATAAAACATTTCCGCTACAAGACCCGGAACTCTGCGGACAAGACTAGCGGCGCGCATCCGCAGTCAAGTTTCTGAAATTTGTTTATGTTACAAAGTTCGGAATTCGGACAATTTTGCATTATGTGTGATAATTTTGATTGTTATTAAAAAATAAAATTGATTTGTGAACAATAGAATAATTTTTACTCATTTTACTGTATGTCTATTTTGTGCGCAAACTATATTAAGCTCACAAGAACAACATTTTGTGTTTTTTAACTATCCAAAATGCCACCTTCGCGCAAGTCGCGAAACGCGTACGTGACCGACTGCGAGTTTGTAATTTGTTTCCGAAGGATAATTTTTATTTTTCGTAAAAATTTCGGAGACGTTTTTTGGACGCACAACTAGCAAGATTTTTTTGTTTGTTTTAGATTAAAAACTGTTGATTGGACATGGTGGTTCGATCTTACCTGAAAGCGTATAAGGGAAAAATGGTATTGGAGTTTATCTCAAAAATATTTAGTGTATTAGCCTTTCTTTTCAGGTAACCCTCAGATCGTCGAGTAAGTTGTTTTTGTAAAAGTATCATCAGGGGAGTGAATATTTTTATGTTACTTTTTTTATGTCATAATGATCTTTAAAAATGCTAAATGACAAAAATAATAAAACTTTGATTCGCGAAAGTATCGAAAGAAAAGCCATTTATTGCATATACAGTTTCTTTAATTTAACCACTATGGCTTTCGGCCTAAATCACGGAGACCCTGAATATCAATAGTACCACTGAGAGCCAATAGTTTGGCTGTATAGTACAGAGCTATGTATCACTTTGTATCACACGTATTGTTCGTCATCCTGCCAGTATTCTGCTTTGCGTGTTCTGGAACTGGTAATACTATCTACCCAATTTGTGAATGTGATCCCTGCATTTTGATTCTGAGAGACCTACGACAAGAATCGCACCCATCTCGATTTCAGATTGGGGGCCTCATCTGTGGCCTGATGCACATCGGTCATCTTGTCTGGACCGTCAAATGACGCAGTTCAGAGACACGTGTTCGTGCGATGGCTCGCAGCAGAAAGATATTTGGATTCACGAAATATACTTCAAATGAAGAGGATCCTTAGTATACACGCTCTCAGTCTTATTAAGCAATAAAATGTGAAAGTATATTGAACCAGAGATAAAATAAAATGCATGATTTCCCTATTTGACACTTCCTCTGCTTTTGGAGTTCTTGGGACCATAATGCGCGTGAAACTATTTTACAGTGGCGTGTCGCGTATTCAGAATGACATTCCCTCCACTAATGCATTTGTTTAGTTTTAGCCTTCGGTATTACATTGCTGGAACTATTTCAGCGGTTTAATTTTCTATGATTCCTTATGGGAATGCCTTAGTTACGCTGCATTTCCACCGATAATGAAATGTGTGAAGAGAAAGGGTCTAATCTTTTTCTCACGACACATTTTCCTTAACATAATTTGTTTATGCGGAACATTACAAACAAGTTTGGTGTGCAACCCTTTCATTAAAAAGAGATGTTCACCGCGGCGAGGTCATTCGCCAAGTGTGGACCGGAAATTCACTGTAACTTATAAAAAAATATCGTATGTAAAGCAACATAAAAACTTTAGTGACCACTGTCCAAGCTTAAAGGGACAAATAAAGAAAACCACTAATGCAACTAGACGCACGTATAAATGTAGTAATAGCATTCACGGCAAAAAAAAAAAAATCTTTTTTTTCTCACTTTGACGGTACGGAAAATAGGAAAAAATACCTCGCTCAATATTTTGACTGACAGATGTCCTCCTGATTACCAGTCAAATTTAAAAACCACTCCCTTTACCCGGTGTGCTTTTTTTTCTAATCTATTGCTCTCCTAACCTGCTGTCTTATATTACAAAAGGAAAAAAATTAGCCCAAATCGCTGCTGCCGCCAAGCTGATTCTCCAGGAACTTCATTAGCATTTCACGCTGTGGTGTTTCTGCAAAAGATTTTAAAAATTCCTAAAAATAGGTCATTCGAGGTAACACGAAACTATTTGCGGAACAAACTACCAGCCTTGGCGGACGTCAAAGATTCCAACAACATTCTTATATGCAAGATGATGAACTAAAATTCACTAATTATTTTTAATTAGTAAAAATAAACTTCTGCTTCGGCTAAGAAACTTTGTAAGCATCCTCGAAAACAATAAAATCCAATCTTTTTTGTGGAAAAAGTATAAGGCAGGGCAGCATTTTACGGCGTTCTGAAAAAAGCTCAATATGGATGCGTTTCTAGGTTTCGGTTTCTTATCGGAGCGCATCTCTGCGCCCGCGGTCCTGTACCCTAGTGACCGAGACGCGCAACACACGGGGTGTTAACCCGCCCCATCACTGGGGCGGGTTAACACGCGCCCTAGTGGTGCATCCGCCGTTCCCAGCTGCGCGGAGCCGAAATTGGCGAAGGAGGATGCCACAGCCGATCTTCGGTTGCTACGTGTTACGTCACGGCGTCGCTCCTTATAACCAGCCAATTCAGCGCGTCTTCCGTTCTTTTGCGTTCTATCGCCTAGCCTCTCGAAATATGCACCTCGCCGCCATCTGTCGGCGCTTGCAGAAGGTGTTTCCTCTTGCCAGTTTCTGTAGCCGATGGGGCTGTTGCGCCATCCCGTGGCGACCTTGCGAACTTTTGTCAGTCAGTCCAAACCAGCCCAAGGTCAGCGCATGTACCGGGGCACTGTTGTTACCGCATTAAAACGCAATCCACTACCCCACCATGTAACTCAACAGTTTTATCTGTCTCACTCGTGCAACGAACTAGAAGACTATGTAACGAATCACGGGCGATGGAGATGCGTGTTGAGGCTGCTGCTTTCGTGCGGGCCTTCAACGGTGGAGTCACAACCCTACAAGCCCCTAAGACGTTGAATGTGATAAAGTGCCTTACAGGTCGGCAGGATTGCAGTGAACCGGGAATCCACTTAATTCAAGGTTTCTTATGATGTGCGTGCGATGAGTTGACAAGATAAAAAAAAATGTATTTATTCCTTAATTAAAAAATATTTTCTCACGCATGAGAAAAAATAGGGCCTCCGATTGCCATATGAATGCCCGTGACAGGGTTTTACCCCAGTGTTATAAAAGGACCCTGGTTGTGTGTGTAACAAGGTGTATTATGACGATTCTATACCACTGCAAGGTAGGGCCAGGACCTTGAAAAAGAAGATTGGTGGTGGTGCGATGAGAGTGTTCGCTGATAGACATGGAATTATAGACAATGAATTCATTACATTTACTACGTCGTTCTTACATATTAGTAGAGGATATGCCGAGTTTTCGCGAATGTGCTTGGAAACAGATATTTGACTCTGCTGATTTAACCTTTCTCTTTTTTTTTTTTTACCTTGTTTACGGTTTTGAGAAAAGAACCGTTGAAAGATTATGTTAGCGGTTGTGTAGTTACCAGTATCGAATAAAAAAAAAAAGCTTCCAATCGCGTTGCGAAGGCTGCTTTTGCTTTTCCTGCAGGTTAACTGATTAACAAGATTCCATTTTTTTTCTTTTTGTACGCAACGCGCTGCTTACAAACAGGCCCTCCTTTGCCCACACGACATATGGACGGTGCGCGTGCGCACAAACCAGATTTATGTACAGTAAAGCCCGCGCATGCGCCATAGCAACATAAGTGCCATCGCTGCGGCGTGACATCAAAGCCGCTGTTTTCTTTATACAAATTATAAAAGGCCCATATAAGTTCCTATTTAGGAAAGACGCCCAACGGAGGCCTAATTAGGGACCCAACAATTCGAGTCCTACACAGCATCCTCTTCGTCACAATTCTTCCCCCAATCAGACGTATTTTGGGCGAATGTTTTACAACCGAGTGTCAAAGAAACACACCTCTTCTTTTTGTAGAAGCTTGTGTTTGATGGCATATTGGTTGTTAAACCTTAGGGAAAATTGACCAGTTCTAGATGGCAAGATGTCCTAGCTGACTCGCACCAGTAGAAGTACACGGGCACTATATGGTTTTGATAAAATGGGGGGAGGGGGGGAGGGGGAGGGAGGGGAGAAGAAGTGGTGAGGGCATCCTCGGGTCTCTATTACCTACATTATATTTGATAAGGGAAAATAGTTAATTCCATGGAGATTCCGAACGTTACTATTATCGCTCTTTTTTGTACGTTGCGCATTATATTTCGACAAAAAAATATGAAATCTTTGGGTGGAGGAATCTCAATACAGCAATACTGTTTGAAAACGCCATCGGACGGCGCCCTATGGTCTCTGCTCGAAACCGTAGAAAGATGGGCGTGTCACGATCTTAGATTTTTGGTAGAGAAATCGGTTGCCCATAAGTGTGATTTCGTGTTTTGTAGGATGCTTGAAAGTTAGAGCGCGCCTAGCTTATGACCATAAACAGGCGATCTCAAAATCCGCTTGAGTGTCCCTTAAAGGAGCTGTGCAACGATATTCAATTGGAATGTTTTTCTCTCTACACGAGCTTACTGGCACACCTGGGACTCAAGGATAGTCACACGCAACGCCATTGGCCAAGAAACACCTTTCTTGCGGTGTAATTTCAGGGACAAAAGCGATCATTTTCATTCAATCTCTCCTTTGCAAAATTTGATGACGTAACTCGGGGATCGTAGTACACCCAAGTGACGATATTTGAATGCGGTTCATAGATTGGACCCGAGCATTGCGTGGGCACTCGACTTGGGCTCGTGACAATTGCTAGCTCGAGAAGCATTCGGGTTGTGACCCGTGTCCAATCGCTGCAACGACGACAACAGCCGAGCCATAACAATGTCTGGAACTCAGCGCGTGTCCTGCGCTTTGCCAACCCCAGCGCGTGGTTATGATCAACACTGGCGGCATATAATCGGCTCCAGATCACGTGGCCGCTTGTTCTGGCTGCGAGTTGAGGGGGTGAACGCTGCTCGTTTTTCTTTAATTTTTTTCTGGGACTACTATTGCGTGGGGTGAAAAACGAACGCGTGTTTCATAGGTCATTAACGTTAGGGATCCGTTTCAAGCGGTATTTGCGCAAAGTACAAAAAATGTTGCATAGCTCCTTTAAGTGCGTTCATTGCATACGTCCAGAATCCTGTTTTTAGAAGAGGGGGTCTTTCTGACAAGGCGTTTTAACCTCTACCCTGCCTGGTCCTCTTCATCCCCTTGTGTCTTCGCGTTCTAAGGCGGGTATTGAGCAAAGCGGCGGGGGTGCTCATGACGTCAAGAAAAGAAGCGATCCGCTCGCGCTCATGGTGTCCACGGGAGAAGTGGGCAGTAAGAGAACTGGAAAGTTGCTGCTCAGCACAAGCTGGAGGTCCTAAAACGAACATGGGAACAACATTTAACAGAGAAGTAACGCCTGTCACACGGCAAAGTTTATGTCAGTTTCGTCGAATGACGTTTGTATAACCAGCGAATAAGCTTGCGATCCCGACTGCGTCGCGCGTGTGACAGTCTCATTGGCCGATCGCTCAGGTGTTATTTGATGCAACCGACGTAACCTCTCAGGGTGACAGAGGTATAAAAAATGTGCCGCCAGAAACTGTGAAAATGTTTCTAAAAGATGTAGATTAAAATTTGAAAGAGCAGAAGACAGCTGTTTCTTAACGGGCATAATTGTTTTCGTAAATTTTGATCGAAGGCAGTGGCAAAGAGCCCAGATTGCGTGAAATTGTAATTAACGATAACGTTGTTTATTCTCTCCAGGCTGTAAAACCTTACGTAGAAATGGGCGCCGTCACATAGTTCTGTCTTTCTTGACCAGGGGGCGCTCTAGCGTCCACGAAACGCGACCACATAAGAGGCGCCTCCACTAGCGTCCCCGAGACGCTACCATTTAATGCGGAACTCAAGTTCGTCTGCTACTTTTGCAGGGGTTGTGGTGATGTCAGAACGCCGAGCTCTCATTGGCTCTGATTGAAGCATAGTGGGTCGACCTCAAAGCAAGCTGCCTTGAGGTCTACCCACTATCCTTCAATCAGAGCTCGTCGTTCTGACGTCACCACAGCCCCTGCAAAAAAGCCGACGAACTTGCGCTTCGCATAGTGACGTGGAGCGACGGCCTAGCGTCCCATGATGCACAACCCACGGGCGCAAACATGCGTCTCTCAGCGTCTGTCCACGCGCACTAATAGAGCGTTTGAAAGGACGCAACTAGACG